TAGTTTTTTTACATGTAAAAACTTGAATTTGATATTTATTATCTCTATTTGAAAAAGGTTTGATAAGCTTCCCTATATGCAAAAGCTTTATTTGGTATTTGTTACCTTTATTTTATTTGATATTGATTATTCTAGTTTTGTTTGCATTTATTGTAATTGTTTTAGTATTTGTTGCTAGTTTTTAAGCATTAGTTGCTTAGTTTTTGGTACCACTCTTTTAGTTTAGTATTCATGATCACAACTTTGTTTTTATAATTTTATTTTATTTTATTTTTGCCTTGTGTTGATACAATACTTATAAGTATTGGCACTAGAAAACCTTTAGAATAATAGTAATCCTCTTTACTTTTATAAATAATTTAGTTTTCACTCTCAAAACTTATTATAAACTATATTTGTGATAAAATCTATCTTCTAGAATATAGTTTGTAATAATAACAAAAAGAATAATTAGATAATTAGACTAGTAATTACTATAATACAAGAAAATATACCCTACTCTAAATCCTAATACAATTATCTATAGCACTATGAAGATCTGTTAAATAGAAAAGATTTCAAAAGAATTAGAGATTATTAATTAACTCAAATATAGTATCTTATAGTTATAATTGATAAATATTAGTTAATAAAAATAGATATACAAGAATTTCTTTATAGAACTATTCTCTATTAGTTTCATATAATACAAATATTAAATGATTATCTTAAAGAATAGAATATCTCACATTAACTAAGACTGATATTTATTTCATTAGGTCAAATTATTATCTGAAATAATAATTATTTTTAATAAAAAATTATGTAATTAGATATTTGATTACGCTTAGATTTAAGCTAATTGATAGATATCATATTAAATAAGAGACTTTCAAAATATTCTCATATTATAAGAAACTTATCAACTTATTTCTTTTAACTCAAGAGCAAAAAGAAAAACTTATCAATAATCTTGATAATAATTAAATATATGATAAATAGAGAATGATATTTATTAATGCTAGTTGGCTTTCTAGAAATTACTTTGAATTAAATTCATAATAACTAATAATTACATAGAGCAAATTAATAAAATATTTGAATTATCTTTACCAGGCAAGCAGATTATAGTGATATTCATTAAAAGATTATATAGAATAAAGTTATTATGTAAAAATTATTATAAAGAAAAAACTAGTCAAATCACTTATAAATTTGACTTGGTAATATTATTTAATATACAAGCTATAGAATAGGTAAGTTAAAGATAAATAATTAGAAATTCAATTAAAAAAATAATAAATAAATAATTTAAGCTATTTAAATCAACTTACAAAAAAATAGATCTATAAGAATGATTTCTGACATGAATTAATATTTAAATCAGAGATAATTATATTTTCTTTTATATTATGTTGAAAATTTAAATCATTTGGATTACTATTTTATTAAGAAAAATTAAAGTTCATTAACTGAATACCAATTATTAAATAAGAAGCTTATTCATATGGATGAAGATTATTTCTAGTATCTTCAGTTTATGATGAAAAAGCTCTCTGTAATCTTCAAAATCAAGTCAAGAAAGAGATATTATCTGACTAATATTATAACTGATGAATATTCATTCTGTTTAGACTATATTTAGAAAGGATCATTTCATGATATTTGCAAGCATTATTATGCTGCTCAAATATTTTCAGAAGTCAAAAAGTCAGATTATAAAAAATTTTATAAAGATATCAAGAATAAACTAATAATATATTTTAAAAATAAAGAAAGAATATTGCTAGCTAATTAAAAAAATAAAATAATATACTTTAAATTAGTAAAAAATACTTATAATTATATAGTACATTTTTATATCTCTTAAGATAATCATCTGATTAGTGTTATGTATATCAAGTATTCTGATTTAATTACTAATCAGTCTTCTTTTTAGAAGATAAAATTTTTTATCCATCCAATTTGTAGTTTTCTGTTTGTATGAATTTCTTCTATCTCTTTAAACTGAATCAGAAATAATAGAGTAATATAGATGCTTCTTCTAAGTTATCTGTAAAGCCTTATAAGACTAATTAAATTTTAAATGCTCAAATAATTAATGAAGACTTGCTATTATCTGTATAAAAATGCAAAATACAAAGTATTAGAAATTTAAAATAATATTAATGAATTGATTAATTTTTTATTTGACTTATTTTTCAGTACTAAATTATATCTATCAGTCTTACAAGAAATCCTATTATGATAAGTTTTAACTTTGTCATCAAGTTCAAGTTCTCAAACTTGTTCTGATATAACTATTAAGACTTTAATACTAATTCAAAATTCATATATTTGGCAGGAGCTACCATATTTTATAGAGAAAATTGATAAAGCTTGCAGAAAAGTATTAATAACACTCAGATACTCAGCTTTGAAAAAATAATCTCTATTAATATTTAGTGATTTTATTCATATTAATATAATAATTGAAGATTTTAATATCTTTATTATATATTATAATTATCATCATCTATATTTGCTAGTTAATAAATAAATTATTATAATAATATAATGCAATAAATTGATTATTACTGTATTTTTAGCAAAAAATATTTATTATACATAAGAAAGAAAGAGAATTATGAGATATCATAAATGAGCTATAGTTATATATCTAACATTATGAATATAGTAACAAATAAATCTCAGAATAATAATAAAAATATGACTTTATTACAGATATATCAAAAATAGAATCTAAATTTGAAGTACTTACTGATCTATCAAAAATAGAACTCCTAATATCATAAATACTCAAATTTAAGTAACCCTCAAGAATAAGTAATCTCCTCCTCTTCAAGTTTAAAAGTCTTAAAAAGTTAAATAAGCAATTCCTTTATTAAAAACTATTATATAATAGATTAATATAAAATTTATTATATTATTTATTTTCATATTCTAATTTTTTAGCAGAACTATCATTTTCATTAATTACTTTAGTTATATTATCAATTTCTATATCAAAATTATATAATAAATCATCTTTAATTTCATTCAATACATTAGAAATTCCATATTTTTTAAATGATTTTATAATCATTTCTATAGGAATATCATTTCATATCTCTAAAATTCATTAGCATATTAAATCATATCCAGACTTTTTTAAATTTTTACTCTTAGTAAATTGGTATTTACCATTGCTCATTCACAAATGCTATTTTTCTCTTAGTTTCTCTTTAAATAGTTTATTAATATAGATATCTAAAGATTGTACTATAGATGTTAAATCTCCTGAAATAATTGCCAAATAAGTATTACTAATATTGCATTTTTATCATACTGATTTAGTTTTATGTTCTTCAAATGAATTCATAATAAGTAGTAAGATAGATTTATTTATTATTAATATTTGTAGTTATTTATTTCAAATTTACTCTATCCACTTACATATTAAATATTTATCCATCCAAGCTTTTTCATGTATTCATATTATGATATCTCAAGAAAAATTGACAGAAGTTCATATATCTTTGAAAATTACCATGAGTGAAAGTTTATCACCATCAGCTATAATAGCTAGAACATATATAAACCAATTTTTGTTATTACCAATTATTTGAATATGAATAGTTTTTACACCTTTTGTATCAATTGTAATAGAACTAGCCATATCAAAATAAATTGGAATTTCATCCATATTGCTAATGTGAGAAAGATCATACTTGTATGATAATCAAGATTGAATTACAAAATTTTGAAATTGGATGATTTTTTCAGCAAGATCTTTAGATAATTTTTAATTGATTTTAGTTTAATATCAAAGAAAAAGATTGTGTCACTTTAAGAAATGAAAGAACCAGCAATCTGAAATATAAAATTTATTAGAAGCATCTGGATATTGGTTTGCACAGGTTGTTTCAAGAATAGTAATCATTTGTATTTTGATAGCTGTTGTTATTATGCCAATTTTATCAAGTTAAAGATTATGAATTCACTTGGTAAGTTTTTTCTCAGCCGCTAGATAGGCTATAATCATTCCAGCACTAACACATCAACTCTTTGGTGATGCATTGCTAAACTTTTTCTCATTAGGCATCCATCATGACACCATCGATTTGTCAATACCAAAATGATGTGCTACAACCAAAATACCAATCTTCTTAGCTTTACGAATAATGACAAGCTTTTCAGATGCTTTATATACCATTCTTTCAACGTATTTTTTTACTTTGGTTACTTTGGGACTAATGTTTGCAGAACTACTGCTCATTTTTATATTTATAGAGAAGCGGGTAAACAGTCAGATGTAGATACGCGAATATAATGCAGTATGAAAGTTTAGATTTGGAAGGAAAGAGATATTTGAAATTTTTTACGTTGATCAATTTGATCTGCGTAACGTTGCGATGCATAATTCTCTCGAATTTAAGCAACCCCACAAAAAATCGTTCAAAAAATGATGACGTAGGGGTTGCTTAAATTCGAACGTTTATGGTATATCAAAAACGAAACTTCTACCTATCATGTGTATTTTTCACATGATTTGAATCCGGATTGAATCCAAAATCACATGATACTACCCGGCTTTAGTGGACCCCAAAATTGGGAAAGTATAATTAAACTGCTTCATGTGTGTGTGGAAAGAAAATTTTAGGAAAAAGGATGTTCGCAAAATAATACCTACCGTATCTTAATAATCAAATCACCTCTCCTTCCGTAATGTCTCACTCTCAAGTCTATTCTCTCTGGATTTTCCTTGAGGGACATCCTGAGCCTAGCCTGCTGGATGACATTACCTTCAGTCTCAGAAGAGAGGCCAACTTGTCCGATCTCGCGCCCTATCTTATTAGCCGAATTAATGAGCTGGCCAAAGTTGGTGCTTTCAACCCGAGGCTCTTCAATTATGACAACCGCATCGACATGCTTCCTGCCGGTACTACGCTTAAAGTTGTGGAGCAGGACACGTCGGCTGCAAAGCCACTTGTTGTGCGCTATCAACTGTCGGATAACACTAGGTTTTTTTTCTTGCACATATTGCTTGCGCATGGGCAGTGTGCCTTTCTCATTTCCTGTTCTTGCCGCCGACTTATAGTCGTGGTCAAGCTCAGATTCCTCGGTACTCCAGAGAAAATTCACCTTCCCCACTGGCGTCTGGTACATGCTTCTTGTGCTTCTTGCTGAGACTAAAAAGAAATATGAACTTTTGCAAGAGGATGAGAATGAATTCTACTTTGTTGACCAGGAAACAAAAAAGAAAACCATCGACACTGAGTTCACATTCAATGGCTTGGTGAAGAAGACCAAACCGAACTGTGAAAATGTAAATTTGTTGGTCAGAATTAAAGGTTTGATTGATTTTTTAAAATCGTTGACACTCGAAGTTTTGCCATGACTTCTCACACATGTGTTTGTAGGCAAAAAGGCATACGGAGATTGGGGAATCAAAGAAGTGCTCAAGGAAATTTTGCACAACCAATATTCATCGAAACAATTCCTTAGCTCGACATAGGTAATGTCTTCGAAAGTTTTATTAATGTCGGCATTGCTTATTAATTGATCAATTGTGTCTCTCTGTAGATGCTACCTTTGGGACTGAACCTATGCTTGACGGACAGGCGCTTCACCGACAACCTTGCAAAGCTTGCATCAGCATTTCATGACAAAGGTACCACTAACGAAGCTACGGCACGAAATTACATTAACCCCCTTATGGTCGAGGCAGTCGCTAAAGTTAGGTTGAAACATCCGCAGACAATGCTGGCCGTTGAAGAGGACCTCTACGGAAGTCGCGGCTATGGTCGTTTGGACTATGTTGTCTATTGTCAGGATCTCGCGGTTTTGATCACCCAAGCAAAAATGGTTGAGATGCAGAAAGAAATAACGCAAAATATTGTACAACTTCATACTGCGGCAGAGGTACCCAACATTGTCGATTTTGTTTTAATTGCTCATTCCGGGCTGTTCATCGCTACTTTTCAGAAACGTAAGCGCAAGCTCCACGAGTCAATCACTAGTCCTCCAATCATCTGCGGCATCGTGTCGACCGGGATAGCATGGCGATTCCTCCGCTGGTCCGGTACACCAGAAGACCCTACAGTAAAAATCTCTAAGATGTACGTTTGTGGATTCGGAGGAGATATGCGCGGAGCAAAGGATGTAGTTTTATTATCATCCGCATTCTTCAATCACAAGCCAGTGTGTTGACACCACAAACCGATGTGGAAGCTGGAAGAATTGACGAAGATAAGAAAAAAGGCGAAGAGCGATTGGCCCAGCGCGTGCGTCTTGAGTAATTCGTAAAAATCCTCTAGATAAACGTATAACTTTTTTATTGATCAGATGGAATTTATAATATTATTAAAAATGAATCATCTGCTTTAAAAAAATAAGTATTTTTAAATTCATTCCAATTATTAAAGAAAAACGATGGCTATTTTCCTTTAAGATTGAAGAAAGTATGGTGATTTTCTATGAAAAATTTCATATCATGCTTCCAGAAAACTCAAATGTCATCCATATCAGTGATCAAGACTTTGCCAAATCCACCCAGGAATATAAAGCAAATCAGAAAATCCAATTAGAAAGAGAAAATAGAGAAACGTGAAACAGAGAGCATTAGGTTATCATTCAATGTTAAATTCTTTTCATTGCAAAAAAAAACAAACTTTTATCAATTTAAAAATAAAACTACACAAAATCAGTTGACGTAATGTGTTTTATCAAATTATATTAATTTATTAAATTCAGTTCCATTATTACTGTATTATATTGCTTTATTCAAACTGATAAACAATTAAATTTAAAAAGTTTAAACCAATTTATAAAGTTCAAAACCAAACCTGATAGAAACTTGTTTCATTTAAACTACTGTGATGAGTATGTATTATATAGAGCAGGATAAATCTAAGAGGTGCTCTTTACAATGAAGTCTAATTTGTGTCGCATAAAAAAAATGAACACATGGTACTGTATTTTAATTGTGTATTATCATTATTACAAAATTTATGGTTAAAATGATACAAGTTTTTCTTTTCGGCGTGCATTGTGTAAATAAATCGTGATAGTATGATGGTCGTAAAAAAATTAGGGAGGGAAGACCCTGCAAGAAATAAACAAAAAGTCATAAGTTTGATTAGAAACAGCGCCTTGTAAAAAGGGGAGAAAGATATTATTCTATTATCAGCTTTTTCCACAAACAGTATTCGTGCTCGCATTATACATAAAAGATGACACAACTAGCGGCTGATAAATCTCATTTCCAAAATCTCTCTTCTCAAATGCAAGGTCACCGTATAAACAACTTTAACATTAAACACGTTATCTCGTTCGATTAGTTGTCTGAATGGTAGTATACCGCCACCTACGCCAAAATACATTGTTTTAGATGATACCAAGCTATGATAACAACATAAAGCATTGTTTCAGTATTGATAAAATTTTTGGTTAAGTCACATTTTTTTATCGAAATATTGATAAGAAATGTAGATTAGAGAAACATAAAGGATACGCAACGCCAGTTGGTCTCTTCAAAATATTCTTTATGACATTGTATAATTTTTCGATAGAGTCCTCATTGTATATCGTTTCAGAGGTCAATATCAGATCGTATTTTTCTTTTTCAGATTTTATATCAAGCGCATCCTAATCCAAACAAATTGAAGATCAAACAAAATACCAAAAAGACCTATAATTAGCAAAATCAAAAAATAATTCCTACCACTAATCCGTTCCAATCACCCGCGAAAAATCGACTTCTCTTGCACATTTCCCTAATAATATTCTCGTTATTTGCAACATTCACTTGTGCAATACCTTGATGATCTATATCAGTGGATTGAGGTCGTAAAGAGGTGTTTAGTAAGATATTTGGTATTGTGACTAATTTAATAACTTGTTCGTTGTAATCTTGAAAATCGACCCGCGCTGATTTTTCACGAGTAAGTATATAAATTCCTGGTAGTCCTGATCCACAGCCAAGCTATTTAAGAATGACAAAAATATCGTAAAGAAATTTAACTTCTATTGAAGCCATAAAAATAGCAAGTAGTGTGAGTAAAAGATAAAGTTATACCTCTAGAACTTTGGGTGAATCGATATTTATCCCTCTTCCAGCAAGGTAATCAACCAAATCAAGGGAGCATTCCCAGGTTTTGAAACCACCTTTAGAATAATAGAATAGAACGATCTAATTGTTGCATTAAAAACAAATACATATTGAAGTCTATAAAAGTCTTTAAATAAAGTATAATGAGAATAACCTTCATAAACTCCTTTGATCAAATCACTCTCAACCATAATATCAAACAAATTTTGACTTTTCTTTATATTAGAGGAGTCTTCATGCTCTTCCATTGGATCATCATCCTCCAAAGCTATTTGGCATTTAATATCAGATAAATGTCGTTTATATAATGTTGATGGTGACGAATTACTTTCAATAGTTTCAGCTATGTAAGATTCCGGGAGTTTAAGTAACTGGAAAAAATTATTTTTGATTCTTTATATTGATATAACGACGAAAAATAGAGCGCGGGGAAGGAAAAACGTAAATACTACCAATGGACTAATAACAATTTCTTTTGGCGCAATAAAAGGGGAAGTTTGATTATCGTTTGTTTTTTCTTCTTCAAGACTTGTCGCTTGAAGTAGATCAACTATTTCGACCTCTTCCTTAACAACTTTATGGTCATTTATCCCGTGGTCCGATAAATCCAAATCTTTAAGCTTGAAAATAAAGATCTAGTGATATAATGTTGTAGTCCTTTCATATTAAACAAAGAAAATGAAAAATACCGAAAAGTTGAAACGGAATGTCATTTTTTTATTGATGAAAATTAATTTTTCAAGATAATCAAAGACATTCTAACTACACGTGATAAACTGTGTCGTAACAGATAATCAGATTCTGTTTTTTCTTTTAAAAAATTTTCTTTCAGTCAATCCATACATCCATCCATCATCCTCTAGCTGTTACTTTTCATCATGGTATGTTTGGTTAAACTAATGGCATTTTCTTTTTCGGGATCGGTTAATTCAAGATAAAAAGTTAGTTAAAAAGTTTGTCTCCATGGATTAAAAATATAATATCTGAAAAATATACTTTCAGTATAATGGCCAAAAAGACCCGAGGGTTTTTTTGTTGCTTCGAAAAAAAAATACACATGCATATAGAACAGATTGGCACATCCAGAAACGAGAGGATTTTTCTCGTCATCTTTTTAAGGATGTTGTCACTGTTTTGTTGCTGTATTTTACTTAGAGCGTAAAACAAAGAAAAACTTTGTCTCTAACACAAAGTCTCCTTTCTTATTTTTGTTTTCGCTCAATGACCTTCACTCATCCTCCTTACGTTCATTCCCTTACCACTTATAAAAATTTTTTGATGGGATTTTCCAAAAAAATTCGTAATTTTGGATTTTTGTTGGGATCCTTTTATTATCCGATATTGCAAATATATGTATAAAATATAGCCCAAGGCCAAACAAACTAAGAAAGTTGCACCGGCCCCATATCCAGTGAAGAAGAAGGATAGTAATAAAGCGGCAAAAAATCCGCTATTTGAGAAAAGACCGAGAAATTTTGGAATTGGTAACTTATGTTTACTTAAACTAGCGGTTATTTGATCGATTTATTGAAATTTTATTATTCTTTATTCAATAATAATAGGACAAGATATCCAACCTAAACGTGATCTTACTCGATTCGTAAAATGGCCCCAATATGTTCGTTTGCAAAGACAACGCAAGATTCTTAATCAACGTCTTAAAGTTCCACCTACAATTCATCAATTTACTCGTGCCTTGGATAAGAATACAGCCACTCAAACCTTCAAGCTTCTCAACAAGTACCGTCCCGAAACCAAACAAGAGAAAAAGGCACGTCTGTTAGCTGCCGCCAAAGCAAAAGCCGAGGGCAAAAAATCTGATCAAAAAAAACCCTACGTGGTAAAATATGGCATCAACCATATCACCGCGTTAGTTGAGGCCAAAAAAGCTAAATTGGTCTTGATCGCCGATGACGTTGACCCAATTGAAATTGTTCTTTGGTTGCCAGCCCTTTGTCGTAAGATGCAAGTCCCCTACGGAATTATCAAGAGCAAATCTCGATTGGGAACTGTTGTTCATAAAAAGACGGCAACTGCTTTGGCTTTTGTTGATATTCGTGAAGAGGATAAAAATTCGTTGAATAATTTGGTAAATGTTATAAAGAGCAATTATAACGACAAATTTGATGAGATTAAAAGACAATGGGGTGGTGGTATCATGGGCGTCAAATCTCAAGCGATGATGGCAAAGAGAGAAAAGGCGGCTGGTAGAGAAGCCAAGAAATTCGAAGTTTAATGCTTTAAACTTACCTGTTGTCTTTGAAAGAAAAAAAAATTAATAATAGTTTGATAGTTAGAATAAATTTATTTCAATTGTACTCTACATAATAAAATAAACGTTGGATTTATTATCTCGCATATTCTATAACGATAGATAATAACGATAGTGATAGAAAAATCGGATCGTGTTGTGGCATGTTGTATGAACAATGAATATTTATGTCGAGATTTGGATGTTTGAGTAACTGTAACTTCATTGTGCATTTCACTGCATCTGTTGTTACTATCACACAAAACTAATTAATGCACGAAGCCCCACCGAGCATTATTTGTAAATGTATAAATGCATAAATATCGTCACTTTTCAGTTCGTTCCCGCTTTTTTCGCGTCACTTTTTATTGTTGATCAGGACGGACGCTAGATAATTGCGTGTTGTACGAATTTTCATAAAATAAAATATCAGTTCATCTTATACTTTTGTTGTTTTTGTAACTTGGAAAAAATCAAGGGATACGGCAACAAAGGACAAATTAATGAATTAATAAAATAAAAAGGAGAAAGCGAAAAAATTAAGAAAAAAATAATTTACATGATTTATTTTCCTCATAGAATTTTTGGTAAAAAAGTTTGTATATAGATTTTAAAGAGAAAATTATTTAAAGAGAAACGAACTTATGAAATCGAAAAGCAATAGCAATTGTCTAGATAGGAACGACAAACAGAAAAAATCAGAAAAGAACTTACTATAATTTTGTATTTTTATTTTATATATATAATTTTCATTACCTCCAACCTATATTCCCAGTGTAGAACACATACATAATTTGCATGATTTAATTTATTTAATTTAATTCAACTACCAATTCAAAAAATGGAAATGAATAATACCGATACACTAAACAATAATAATGACACTTACATTTCGCCCGACACACCAATAACACGAGGTCCATCCGATGATCCATACATGACAACTGGGGCAGTAGCGTACGCTATCCTCTGCACAATATCATTAATTCTCATGTGCATCCTGACAATAATCTATGGACGACTAAGCTACAATCGCGTATTCGTGTATTTTTGCGTGTCGGTTATCGCGTTATTTATACCGCACACGCTTGGTGCGTGGATATTTGGCGCGAATTTGGCCCGCGCGCCGAATTGGTTGTGTTGGATTCAGGGATTGTGGATTAATGCAGCAGGAATTGGGGCGGGATTGTTGGTGTTGTTATATTCATATGAGATTTACAAGAGTATTGTGTTGCATGTTGATAATGATTATCAGTTACGAAAGAAATATTATTTGGCGTTGGCTGTGTTGCTGCCTTTGTTGATTGGGTTTATTGGCCCGGTTATTGTTGCTGAGAAGCCTTATGGAATCGTATGTATTAGTTTTTTTTGTTGTTGAAAATTTCTCAAAATATACTAATCTTATCCATAATTTGCATTTCTATAGTTACCTGGACCATATTTTTGTGTTCTATATAGTCCGATATTACCATTAGCATTCGTTAGTATTCAAGGATGGAATACGTTATTAAGCATCCCCGGTATTTATTTCTCATGTAAGCGAACTTCATACCGTAATTTTTTCTTTGATTTATTGAATAAATAAAAAATTAATCAGAATCAAAAATAAAAATAGTTCGCACCACAATAGAAGTAATAAAAGTAATTTATACACGAAAGGGATTCGATACTATAGTATCAGCCAAAGAAAAATATGAACCACAAAAAACCAACACAGACATATCACATGAAATAGAATCAGCATTTACAATACCATATACACCAACAACAATGACCAGCACCGCCAATGCCTCACAAATAATACATTCACCAACAACATACGTAAATCACAATGATAATTATTCAATACCTGATCAAGTATCAAAACTTTCCGACCGAACAATATCATCGATACCAGTCTACGTATGCCTTCGCCTCGTAATGTTCGGATTACTATACTCTGCGGTAACAATTAGTGTCTACGGACGAAATTTGTATGACTCCGTAAGACAAGCAGAATATGATTTCAAACCAACATATTTGGAATACGTGATCGCCTCGTTGGGCATCATTCTTTTTTTGGTGTTTGGCACTTCGATCGAAGCGGGTCGCGCGTATTTACGATTTATTAGAATTTTGGCAAAGTTGAATTGGTTACGTAGGTGTTTTGCATGGATGAGACGCGATGAGAGTTTTGGCGATTGGGAAATTCAGCAGCAGAAAAAACGAGCGGAAGAACAAGCTAAACAAGAGAAAAAACTTAAAATGCAACAAAAACGGCGAAAGAATCAACATCAACGTGATGATTCGAGAGCAAATGTGCTAAATGATATAATGGAAATCGATGATGATGATGAGACGGATATAAATGGTGAAAACGAACAGCAGCATCAAAATGAAATTGGACAAGCTTTGTGATTTTTATCTTTTATTTTCTTACTTTTTTTGTTAAAAATAGAATATTATTTTGTAAATTGTATTATTAGTTACAACATTTATACCCACCCCAATTCGTCATAATAACAAATTGCATTTTATCAAAAATTCATTATTAAACATCAGCATAAATAAAATCGTGAAATTTCACCCGAATTCTCGCGTAATCATCGAAATGTCATGCTCTCTTTATTCCTAATTGTTTCCTAGTCATCAAACCGAATTTTTCTACTTGCCTTTTTTTGCGATCTAATTTGCTTCTCTTCTTTTCGCCTGCGATCTTCTGCTTTCTTTCTGTTTTGTTAATTTCAGATGAGATTAATATTCAGATTTTGAAGATTCTTAGCTAAATCAGATCATCATTCTTTAAACGTACAGCCTTTCAATTCTGTCGACAGTCTCCTGACTTGGTGCTTTTGGAACAGCCGCAGCTTTGACAATCGCATCATATAATTTGTCAATACAGTCATCAAGATTATGTTTCTGTGATCTGGATCTGTCGGATGTCACTATCCATTCGCCATCTTTATTTATATGATTTGATTCCTTATTGTTATCGTTTATTGTGTGAGTTATAACATTATTATTAAGAAGAATTATATTTTGCGCGAGAAAGAATTACCTGTACAACCAATTTTTTTCTAGCGTATTCAGGAATCCAGTATGCTTGATCAATATTAAATCGTAGGTCTACTTTTGTATTTGCTGCGTATATGCACAATTCAAGAAAATCATTAAATATTTTTATCAGATCATATTTATTCATGTTCATATTAATTGATCAAATTGAACTACTCACATTTATTAACATTTTGTCCACCAGGACCGCTACTTCGACAGTATGATATTGTGAAACTTTCTAACCCATTTATTTATAATAATCAAAATATATCATTTAAGAGATAAAATATGCCGTGAATGTTTGTCAATTACCCTTTGGTATCGTGTCTTTAGTAAATTTCTTTAACCAACGTTCTGCTCGTTCAATGTCATGTGGTGTATCAAGAGAAGAAATATAGCGACATTTTGTTGTTGGTTTAAATATGAGATTCGAGATATTTATTGCTATTGGTTGGAAATAATTATGACAATATAAAGAATTTTTCAACGAATGCTTTCGTGTGGAAACTGTAGAGAATTGCGACTTTACAGATAAATGGAATTTCCTTGAGATCACAGGAGAGAAGAAAGAGTCAAATGGAGTTATTGAAGAGAGTAAAAGACCACGAAGTGAATTAATTTTTATAATCGATTTATTCATTGTGCTTAAAAAATAGTTAACCATGGGATTTATTAAACTGCATCCTGACATTACAGTTGCTAACTTTAACCAATCACCAGCTTCCATATAAAAAAGCTAAAATCAAGATATGGGCCGTTGTAAGAAGATTGATACACCAAT